ATTTGTTATACCCAAAAATCGTACCTCATGTTTAGTTGTAACAGCAATAGCCATAAAACTATAGCATCTATTTCTGAGTCACTTGTCTCGGGTAATTACTTTGCCAAGAGCATGAGTCACCAAGTCAGAAATTAGAGTATGACTCAGTTTTAACTTTATACTAATATTATCCTTAAAAATAAAAAGGGTTCCTCTCTTCCCCCCCAAACTGTTAGATGTTTTGGTTCTTTTCATAATGCCAAAATGTGCTTTATATAGAATATCTGAATCAAATGTTGAAATAATTATGTCCTTTTTATAATGCCTTTCATCCAGAAGGATCTCACAGTAATTTTTAAATGTGTGTGTGTTCTTCAGTGCATCACATATACAATGAAGTGAGGCAGTATGACAGTACTTGGCAACACTATTCAAAGCACCTGACTGAAACAGCAATCAGATCCTATAATTTGTTTAAACAAGACAGGAAAATTCAGATGCGAAAAACTGAATTAGCGACAATGGAATTTCACTATTTATCTCTCATTTTTTGCAAAACAGGGTTTATTCTGACTACTGAGGATCAGATCAGCCAGTACTTAGTAGCATTCAACCTTTCAGTTTCTTCAGATTTCAGCTGTGAGAGTTTCAATAAGGAAGCCTGACCCATTTCAAAACTTTGCTTATCCTTGGCTGCAGCATGTTGTGACAACATCAGGCAGGGCAGTATCAAATTGAGAACAAGATGTTAAACTACCTTTGGAAATACTCTCTAATTCTGCAAGTCTGGATATGCTCAAAGGCTGCAATCCAGGCAGGCACCTGCACACTCAAGTCCTTGCTGAAGAACTGCCAAAGATGCAACTCTACAAACAGTTTAGCCAACCCAAGACTGCCTAACACAAGAGAAGCAGCCCTGCCCTCCTGTCCCACCAGCATTTCTGCCTGCTCTTCTCCTGCCCCAGCTTTTGTTTGGCCACAGATCTACTGGCTGATTCGGCTAAAAATAATGGCATAAGAATGTGTCAAACAAAAAAGTTAGCTACTCATTAATCCATCCTTTGAGAAGCAACTGAGACTTTGGGAGTTTTCATAGCCTTTCATCTGCTGGTCCACTTTGAGCGAAGAAGGCTGTGTTTCTCTTCAGGAGTGCAAGGAGCACTGTAGACCAATTGCATGGCACAAATGCAGGCTCTTTAGTTCAGGACTATGATTTTGTTCTATGCAGGACAGATGTCTAGCATGTATTAAGTTCTCTGCCTTCTGTTTGTTTTTCCTCCAGGATGGCAAATGCTCAGCTGGTAATACAGTAAAATGTAAGCCCTGGCCATTTGCTATTGTCAAAGAATCACTATTTTTCAGTCCTTTAAAGGTATGTCACTGATTAAGAAATTTGTCTTCTGGATGTTAATTTCTTACCCTTTTATCATGCTGTAGGATAACCATGTCACCCAAAACTAGACATCAATTTTGATACCTACGCTAAGAGGCTACCAAAAAAAGCAAGGTTCCTCCAAAGGGTAATTTGGGTTACCATTACATAACTTAGCTGTACCATGTAGTTTAAGTCCACTTCAAGAACAAGAATTTAACATAGGCCTGAGTATTTCTCAGCATAGGTTGTACAGGAAGCTCAAGTTAAAACATCTGAAGGCCAGTGGTGTGACTTTCCCACTCCAATCACATCTTCACGTGAGTTAGAGCAGAAGTCCTGAGTGCCCAAAGCCAGGATGACGTTCCAAGGAAAGGTATATAATGTCAGGGAATGGCACTAATTCCTGAGATCAAGACAGATGGTTGACATTTGGCAAGAATAAAAGAAACTGTCTTGGATGTCAGAGCCAGCAAGATGAGTAATACTACACTACAACATAGCCTGCTTCTTGGATTTAGCCCATGTTATTTAAGCAGTAAACTTCTCGCTCTTGATCCACTTCTTTTTGAGGCACCTTATATTTCTGAGAAAAAAAACTGCCCAGTTCTCTGCCTTCTGCAGAGAACTTACAGATGTTTGTACCCACACCCACCCCTTTACTGTAATTCTTCCAGCTTCTTCAGCTAAAAGCTATATATCTGATATATATTTAGAGGTATCTTGGCCAGTTTCCCTATTTCAGAATTGTATTACTCTACGTAGGTGTTGAATTCATGTTCCAATTTATTTACCTTGTTAAGCTTTTAGTAAGATGATAGAGTAACAATTGAGAATGTAACTTTTAACAGAATGACTTTGGTAAAATTTTCTGGGGCTGTTCTGAAGGTTCTGGGACCATTAGATAGCTATTTAGAGCCTGCATTTTACACAGCACTACAAAAAAGACCCTTAACAATATTCTTCAAAAAGTAATACTAAGGATTAAAGCTTGAATTTCTTACACCATGAAGAATTTCCACAAGCAGCTTGGAAGAGAAATAAAATTTCTGAAATCTCAATTGCAATAAAACTCAAACATATGTTTCATTTTAGGAAAAGCCAACCCTGAGATTTTACCTTCAAATTATAGTTATTCTTGTTGGTATTTATACAGCTCAGCAGATGATTGAAAAAGAATCAATAACACATGGGGAGAAATAAACTTTTACTTATAAGATTTGGAATGCACCTCCAGCCCTTAACCTGGAGCTAGCACACTGTCTGCAGATAAAATAGTTAACAGCATGTATACAAAAAAGTGGCAATATATTTGGACCCAAACCTGGAAGATAAAAAGACATTATGCAGAACTGAGGCACAGCTTTAGAAATAACAAAAAGAAAACAAAAAACAACCAAACAAAGCAGGAGGCATTTCAAGGAACCAAACAAAAGTTGGTGCCGAGTTCAAATACCATTCATGAAATATAAGCAACATACATTTAAAAAAAATCTCCTGAAGTAGCCAGTGTTTCTGGACTGTATCTTCTGTACCAACAATACAACTCCATTTTTATGACAAAAGGTTATAAGAACTTGAAATCCACAGGAAAACTAAGATGCAAGACCCAGACTTCGGGAAAACAGTGCCAAAGCTCATCCTGATTTACTCTAAGTATGGTATTCAATTTATTATTCTACCTGTAGAGTCATTTCTAAGAGTATATCCTGAGGTATCAGTATAATGCTGAGTAGGAGAAAAGAATATTAACCAATTATTCAATATCAGCCATCAGTCTTCCTTCTCAAGGATTCTCTGTCAAGAGTTCCAATTATGTGATTACCAATAACTCAAAAATGCCTCGTTTACAAAGGGCTGTGAAACTGGTCTAGCTGGGCTAGTGTTCATTTACTGGGGCACAACACAAATGTCCCACAAACGATATTTAGCTATGGAAAAGCCATCTATGCACACTTGTTCCTAAAAATCACACAGCACACAATTTAAGAGTAGTCATCTTTTGTCATAAAAATACACAGAATTTCACAGAATAAAATTGTTGACTGTATATTTTATTAATTATGTTCTTATTTATTTTTCTATCACATATAATTATATTAACAATAGTTTTACTATTGAATACACATATCTTAAACCCCTAAAAACTAACTACACCATTCACCATGTGACTATTAGCCAGACAAAACAGCTGATACAAATCAAAACAAAGCTGATACAGGACAAATACCTGTGTCACAATATGAAAACAGTTCTTACCATTTATAAGAAGTAGAAGGTTCTGATTTCAAAATGCAAGATCTGACCTTCAAAGCAATGATTATTTGTATTAAAGCATTGCAGAGAATAATTAAAAGTTTTTGGCTTCATTACAAGATTTAAAAGTTGGTTACAGCTGAAATCATCTCTTTAGTTCATCAGAGAATTATACAACAATTCAAGAGGGACAGAAGGAATTCCAGAATTTGGGGGGAGAAACAGGAAGACACAGCAATAGCTTTTTTTTTGTCTCAACTGCACCATCTCCAAAGACAAAGTCTTGAATTATGCAAAATGAAAGAAATACATCTCAGAAAATGTATTTCAAATCTCCTCCTAAGACAACACGACGGCTCTTGCTGAAGAAGTAATACTCTATATGCCATGCATAGATTTTCACATGAAGCTTTGAAGATTTAAAAATTATATAGTGAGCACATGTAGCACATTTTCATTACATAAAACACCATCATGTGACTTCACTGCATCTTTGAGAAGCACAAGCATGACAGTACCCAGAGGACAAGCATTAAGGCCTAAGTCAAACACCAGGTGTTACAGGTGCCTCCAGCTGCCCATCAGTGATCCCTTCCTTCTTTTCCAGGCTCCTGAATGGCTCTCTCATGTTTGAATACACTCCTGAAGGCCCCTTTTTGCGTGTGAGCCTATAATTCATTTTCCAAACAATATTTTATATTCTTAGAGCTTCAAAGGAATAGCCTCACAACCATCTGTGAGTTCTTTCCAGGAGGTTTCTTCCTACCCCACCTGAAAACCCACAATTATTCAGTTAGCAAAATTTGCTATAATACAGCAGCAGCATCTGTAGACTGAGGAGAGAAAGCTCCTGCCTCCCTCAGAAATTGGGGCCTGATGCCTCAGCCAGCTGCTTTTTTTCGTCCAGCACCAAATATCTCCCTGCCCCTAAGCCACCTGTCCCCCGGGGCAAAGCCTTCCAAGCCAGGAAGCACCTATGAGACTGAAGAAGTACCTCATTGCTTAAAATAGATGATAAAGGGAAACATACCTACAGTTCTAAAGAAAAAAATGTGAATCAACAGCCTGTGAAGTTATGAGTTCATAAAATCTGCTGTACATGCATTAGAAGCCTGAAGGTAACTGTTGAGAGTGCGGCAGAGGGTACAGGATCAAATTAAAGGAAGTGTGAAATGCATCTACCAGACTGTGCAAGTAACAGGATAAATGACACTGCCCTGAAAGGAACTCAAAAGGGCTGGCATGTCAGACTACCAGGAGGATTACACAATGCACCACTTTCCTCCAAGACATATCTGTGACAAGAAACAGGAGCGCTCTTGCCAGTCAGCCCAAATGACCCCTGCAGAAGGACTTGGCCTGCACCCAGGATGATTGGCAGTGCTGTCAGGGCATGGGGAAGCACAGCAGAACCAAGAGTGATGAGAGGAAACTCAAGTACTTGGTTAGTTCCCTGGGGAAGGTGAGCTGAGTACAAAGAAACTGAAGTCAGTTCTGGTTTGGCTGCTACTCAGATGTGCTGAAGGATGCTGGGGAGTGTTGACTGTCTCTAATTACTTCTGACAGCAATGTAAAAGCAAGCTGAGATATGCTGTCTCATAGGGCATCATCTCATCACTGTCATGAGGAGACTATCCACAAGTTTCGAATCCTGTCTCAAATACAAGGAACGTAAGTTTCTAAGGGTAATGGTAACAGTTCTAACAAGTCCCTTATAAAAATCTTTTCCTCTTGTGAGTGCCAAGCATGCTACACAAGTTAAAGAATTTGAAAAGAAACATAATCAAATTTCAGGGGTGAATGAGTTACTGAATGCTATTTTAGCAGCAGATATTTTTGTTGCAATTGGTGTCCGTGCACAAACCATTTTAAGAACAGTAAAGATTTTGATAGAAAGCTGTAAAGCTTATTTACATAAATGGAGTTTCATCATCACCCACTCCAAAGCAGGCTGGATTGGGTATGCTGACCTAATGTTTTCTTTATCGTGATTTGAGTGAGGCTGGGAACACATGTCAGATTGTGGCTTAGTTTGCCCTTTCAGTATCCTGATGGGAGTCCTTTAAAATTCTAATTTAATTTATGTAGCACCTGCAGTATCATAAAAACAGTTTCAGATACCTAAAATTCAAACAAAATCAAAATATTGCTTGTACTAGAAGCTTTGTGACACCCCAACTTAGCAAGAAAACATTTCTGTAGGACATAGACCCCAATGTTTTTAGCAATATACCTTGCAAAATATTCCGAGATCCTCAGTTTTCCTTTCCAACAAGTAGAAGACAACAACTTTCATGTTTTCTCGCAGGAGCTAATTTTTTCCCTTATTTTGAAACTCATTCTTAGTCCTCTCCCGATATGAAAAAGGTGATTTGGCATTAGGTAAGTTCAGCAGTTTGTATTCTGTTCAGGATAGAAACCAAAATAATTTTAAAAAGGTTAGCCAGAGTCTTACAGCATGATTTCAAGAACTTTTCAGTTTTGCTAGCAAACAATTTCAAATTCAACATTGAGTCACTTTCTGCTGTTGAAACAGACCAACGCTTACAATGTGGCCTACAACCAAACTGAAATATTTTAGTATACCTCTTTTACTGGTATGATACAGCCTCTGCTTAAAGAAAGATAGAATTTAATGTTATAGACAACCTCAGGAAAGCAGCTGATTTAAAATCTATGTATAATTATTCCTTTACAGAATTACTTGCTTTAACTGGCAGCCTTTTCTTCAAATGAGGAACAAACATTTGGTGTTGGCATATACTGACTGTTTTCAAGTTACTTGTCATTTTATTTGAATTCAAAACTAGCAGACATTCCTTATTAAGGTTGAAAGACTTTCTGTCTGATTCTAAAGAGAAACTCATGGTGATTTTTGTTACCAAATTCTGTACATTACTATATCCTGATATTCCAGGTCTCACTGATCTCACTGGCATTATGACATTGTTTTGAAAATAAAGCCAAATAATTTCTCTCATTGCTGATTAAGAAATTAAATACCCATCACGCAAACCTGGCACTCAGCAACAATTTCTGCCCGGGGAAGGTTTTAAACAAAGGATCCATACTAAGTGTCTTCTACAGCTGCCCAGGGTAAGGCACAAACACATCCTGATCTTAAAACGGGAATTTCCCAATTCAGCTGATCCCTGCTCCGGTACAAGGCATCGAGAAGGTCACTGACATCTTCCCTCTCACTACCTGCAAACAGTGACCATCCTGTTTATAAACAGACAGCAAAAGGCCTGTAATTACCCAGAGCCCCGACAAGCTCAAACTTACACTCGTCCTTCTGCCGCACCTGAGAGAGGCGAAGTCCGGCTGCTGCAGGCAGGTGAGGGCAGGCCCGGCGGGGCCAGGGCGCCTTCCCGCGGCAGCGGAGGTCCTGCTCTCGCAGAGGAGCCGGGCGCTGGCGGCCCCGCGTGGCGGCGGCACCACAGACTCCACAAAGCTGCAGCCTCCCCAAAGCTGCCTCGGGCTCTCCGACCCAGCGGGGCACGGCCGCCTCCCGAGGGCAAACCGGGACAGGCAGCCCCGCCCCTCCGGGACTACACTTCCCGTCGAGCCCTGCGCCGCAGTAGTGCAGTCCTCCCAGGAGGCTGCGCGGCGTCGTGCTTTGCCATTGGTCGGATTCGAAAAGAAGCCGCGGCCGGAGCGGAGCGCGAGCCCAGTGAGCGGCCGGGGCCGGGCAGGTGAGTGCACATCGGACCGGGGGTCTGTGGGGGTCCAGCGGGCCCGGGGGTCTGTGGGGGTCCAGCGGGCCCGAGGGTCTGTGGGAGTCAGCGGGCCTTCTCTGGCAGGAG